CTGTACAGGGTGGTTGTGAGTGGGAGCCAACTTGATGGCACTTAACAGCAATGACAACAATATAATCACTTCATACCGCCTGTCTGTGGTGGTCTGCATGTTGCTGTGATGCTGGAAGCTTTGCTATTATGGTGATCAAGATAATCCCTGGTGGACAGATTTCAGTGGAGCATTAAGCAAAATCACCAGCTGCTCCTTGGAAACCCTGTCCAGGCTCACTATGAGTTGGGACTGACTCAATGGTACTTAACAATAAAAAACGGTACTTAACAATAAAAAACAGGTTTTAAAGTGCTAATCCCACAGAGATTCAGAAGAACTTCATTACCATCAAGAAGAAGATTCTGGAGCAGAGTCTGGTCTTTGAACCAGTGATTCTGGGTCCCTGCACCAAGAACCTCCTAGACCCCAAAGAAATAATGAACGCTGAAGACAGCAAGAGGTACTAGTGTTAAGCCAGTTTAGCCCACATGACAAGAGCTGAGTGGACAGAAAGTTTGTCAACAGAACTAAAAGAGCTGAAACAGTTGTATGTGCAGAGCAGAGGCCTGAGTGCCCTACTCATGGTATGCAGGGGCTGACCACCAGGGCAACAAGGGCTCGTAATAGTGTGATAGAAAGACGGCCCTACAGACTGGAATAACATGGTGGGAGGTGGTCACAGAGTCTTAGAAAGGCCCATGGTAGAGGCCTGGAAGATCCTATAAAGGGCTCTTCCAGCTGACAGCAGGTCAGCAAGGCCCAGCAACTGCTCTTAGAAAGTAAGGCTTTCTGCTCCCGAAAAGATTTACAGCCTTGGAAATGGAGATAGGGTCACTATGAGTCGGAACCAACTGGATGACACTTCACAACCATATCAGGGTGTATCATGGTGCTGGGATAAAGCACTGACCTCAAGGTCTATTCGAACCACAAGGTCAGCAGCTCGAACTCACCAGCCACTCCTTGGGGACCCTATACAGGATCACTATGAGTCGGAACTGACTCTTGGGTACTTCACAACAACAATAACAACAACAGTGGAAATGCCTGGAGTTGTGTGTGGCACTGTATGATAAGCACTGGATTGCTAGTCACAAGGCCATAGGTTCAAACCCACCAGCCGCTACTGGGAAACCCTATACAGGGGTGCTATGAGTTGGAACTGACTCTAGGGCCCCATGGCCCTGCCCATTACCTTCATAAATGGATTTCCTGAGAATTCTGTGTAAAGTAGGCATTGTGTGATGGACTGGGTTTACTGAGTGATGATTCATTTAACTTGAATTTAATGCACTATGCATGTCTTTTATGTGTTGTTGTGTTCCATCCAAGTGGCTCTGACTTATAGCGGCCCTGTATTGGGTTTCTGAGAAGCGCCTGGTGTAATTGAGCCACCAGCCTTGCATTTATCAGTCCAGTGCTTAACTGACAGCGCTGCACCAGGGCTCCATTATGTTGTTGTCGTTGTTAGGTGTTGTCAAGTCGGTTCTGACTCATAGCAACCCTTTATAGGGTTTCTTAGGAGCAGCTGTTGAGTTTGAACCAGTGACCTTGTGGTTATCCTACAGCACAACACCAGGACTCCTTTAAACAGTAAATTCAAATAATTATGTTTTTAAAATAATGACAAAAGAGCACATTAATTTTTCTTCCTTAATAAAATGGTTACAAAATTAATTAGTTGCAAAATAAGTAATTATAAAAATAAAAAAGTAAAGCTGTTGAAAGCACATGGCCCCTTGAAGAAAGGTTAATTTTTGAACCATAGCTCATGATTTTTAAAATGCTTTATTTAATATTTAATTTTATTTAAAATGACATTCAAGTTATAATTAGCATTTTGGAAGAAATTAAGAATTAAGTCTAACAGCTTAACTTTCTTTAGAGTTATATTAGGTACTAATGAAATGTCTTTTAAATTTTTTTCAGTGTTGTGAATCAGTTTAGGAAGAAGGAAAATGATGCAGCAATCAAAATCCAGAGCTGGTTCCGAGGATGTAAAGTTCGGGCATATATCAGGTATGTTGATTTTGTCATGAACACCTCATATATGCATTTTTAATTATTTGACAATGGAATGTATTCATGTGTTACACACTTCAAATAATTTCCTATTTAACTTTTCATTAAGTTAATAAATTGTATTTTGCTCTTAAAGGAGAAACCACATACCGTTTCTAGCATCTTTTGTTATGTACCAAAAAAACTAAATAATATTGATATTTCTATGTTGAAAAATTCCCAGTATTGTAAAGGTACATGGCCAGATTCTTTTCCTCCAATTTCATTAAAACCATATCGTACTGCCATCAAATACATTCCAACTCATAGCAGTCCTTGATGACAGTGTAGAACTAACTGCTCTGTGGGGTTTTGAAGATGACTGGTGAGTTCAATCCATTAACATGTGGCTAGCAACCCAAGGTTTAACCCACTATGCCAGCATGTGACAAATGGCTGGATTTGTATTAATAACAAAGCATTCGATGACTGCTAAGTAGAGTAAAAGGAAACTATTTCAACCCTCTTCAATATGATACCAGTAGATGATGAGAAATGAAGGCAGATGTCCTTCCGTTGAGAAAAGTAGTCTGAAAGAGATTCCCATCTTAACTTTTGCACATTTTACCTTAAAGTCTAAAAGGATATTAACCTACATAAAGTGGAAAAAGAACTATGTCCAGCCCATAAAAACGCAGATGCTAAGTTGAGGATTACACTCTATAAAATATTTGAACAATTGGTTGTTGTTGTTTAATGCTGTCAAGTTAGTTCTGACTCATAGCCACCCTGTATAGGGTTTCTGAGGAGCGGCTGGTGAGCTTGAACCACGGACCTTACGATTCAAACCAACTTTGCAGTCCAGTGAGTTAACCTATAGCACCACACCAGGAGTCCATTTGAACAATAGTGCTAGTATAATCATTTTCTAAGTAAGTTCTGAATCTCTCCTATGTCGTTGTTAAGTGCCGTTGAGTCAGTTCCGACCCACAGCAACCCTGACTAGGGATTCCAAGGAGCGGCTGGTGTGCTTGAACTGCCAACCTTGCAGTTCAAACGGCTTTGAAGTCTGGCACATTAATCCACAGCGCCACACCAGGACTGTGAATCACTCCTATAGCTGTGCTCCAAATCACTGTGATGTTGTTATAGTAAATCTGATGTCCTGTACAGACTTATTCTCTCAAAGTAACCTTGCTGTTACATCATCACCTCCATTACCATGCCTGTCTCTTAATACCACATTACTCTTTTCCGTTATTTCCAATATTTTCTTTGATTATCCTAATGACTGAAGAAAAAAAACCACAAAAACATATAACATATTTCTGAGATAAACCTTTAAGAAAATCACCTAAGTCCTTACTTATTTCAGTGGTAACTTCTCGAAATACTATGAATATCTCAAGGTCAGTTCCTACTTGAACACTGCTTGTTCCCAGTTAATTAATGTATGTTATTTATGAGTTTTACACTTCTTAGATCATCTAGTGGGAGCACCATGGCTCTAGTGGGTAAGCACTGGACTGTGAAATACAGGGTTGGTAGTTCAAGCCCACCAGCCTCTCTATTAGAGAAAGATAAGACTTTTTGCTCTCACAAAGATTTACAGCCTGGGGAACGCTATACAGGGTAGCTATGAGTCTGAACTGACCCAGTGGCACTTAACAGAAATAATAAACCATTCAAAAGGTGCCAGATGATGCACATCTGAAATGTGAAGACCAGATTTCTCTTTTAGCCCTTAACAAACAAAAAGAATATCTCTTAATTCACCTGGAAAGATGGGGAATGTTAGGAAAGAGTAAAGAAGGGAACTGTTTCTTTGTTTAAATAATTCTATGATTTCTAACTACATATAATGATTCACTGGAGTCCCTGGTTGGCAGAAAGGATTAAGTGTTCAACGACTAGCTTGGTTCGCACATGAGCATACTCTTACCCACATCAGGACCCGTAATTTGGGATTGACTAGAAAGGCAACTAACAACAAAAATAATGATCGACATCATTAGTGGCTGACCTGTTATACACCATGTCACTATTACCTGTTTTATCGTCTTAATTTAAAAAAATTTAAAAGAATACTTATTGAGGACTACTGAAATGTTAAAGCAATGATTTAATCACAAACCCTCAAGAAATAATACATACTGTAGTTACCTATGCCCGTTTTCTACTTCTAGCCCATTGCCTTCAAATTGATTCCAACTCATTGTTGTTATTGTAGATGCTGTTGAGTTGTTTCAGACTCAATAACCCTATGTATAACAGAACCAAATACTGCCCGGCCGTGCACCATACTCACAGTTGTTACTATGCTTGAACTCATTGTTGCTGACACTGTGTCCTCCCAACTCATTGGCTGTCCCTCCACTTCTCCAGAGCCCAATACCTCCTGATACGTGTGAAGTGCAACAAAAGTCTCGCTGTCTTCGCTCCTAAGGAACATCCTGGTTGTACTTCTTCCAGGACAGATTTGTTTGTTCTTCTGTACTTTCTATGTTGTACATCAACAGCAGAATTTATATGCATTGATTCTAAGAATGATGAATTCTGTCCTAAAAGTATCCGTAAACTTGGCATTGGATTTGTTTTCTTCAACTGAAATATTAGACATCCTTGTTATAATGAAAGCATTCTAACACATATGATTTTGATTCCAGGTATTTATACAAAAAAGTAACAATTATTCAAAAATGGTGGAGAAGTTACTTAGGCAGACAACAATATCAACTAATGGTGAAGGTAAATATTACAAAATTTATATATATTACCATTTGAATGATACAGTAAATTGTAGCTTACTCACCTCAGCCATGGTTTCATATAGTTTTGAAATTATGATGGTAAATGAGGACATAATTTGGCTCACATTTTTTATGAGACTTTTTCTGAGAATTGATGGCTTATTTCTTTTCACCCAAAATAAATCAAATACTACCTTGCATTGTTGTTGTTGTTGTTGTTGTTGTTGTTATGTGCCATGGAGTTGGTTCTGACTCATAGCCTCATCTTTCTCCTGTGGAACAGCTGGTAATTTTGAACTGCTGACCTTGAGGTTCACAGCCCGATTCGTAACCACTACGCTACCAGAGCTCCTTACTACCTTCCATAGTGTGTAATAATGTATTTGTTGATGATTATCTACTTTCTTTGATGGTAATCTTTTTGAGAGTAGGCCCTGTTTTTTGTTCATTTTTCTTTCACCTGTATGGTCCATATGTTTATGGCCCCTAAACATTGGTAGAATTATTTTTAAATTTCTTTAGTTTCTATTAGAGTTCTAAAAATCTTAAATTTCATATATTAATTAATTGGGACCGCCATTCATCAGTCAGTTTGTTGTTCTATGATGGCTTATGTGTTGCTGTGATACTGGAAACTATGCCACCAATATTTTAAATACCAACCCGGTCACCATGGTAGACAGGCTTTGGCGGAGCTTCCAGACTAAGATAAACTAGGAAGAAGTAGAAGCCATCCACTTCTGAATAGTTAGCCACTGACAACAATATGGATAGCAGCAGAGCACTGTCAGATGTAATGCCAGAAGATGAGTCCCTCAGGTTGGAAGGCACTCAAAATATGATTGAGAAAGAGCTGCCTCCTCAAAGTAGAGTTGACCTTAATGATGTGGATGGAGCAAAGCCCCTCGGGACCGTCATCCAGAAGTGACTCCATGGCACCTAACACAACAACAGTTAATTGGGAATATATAGCATTTAAATTTATTCCACAAAATATGAAAAAGAAATCAATTTCTTTCTGGGTTACTTACCTGTGTTTATTATTGAATTTTGAAGATTTGTCTTGAATCATGTATCACAACCATCTGTATGTTCTGGTATACTTGTAGAAATATATGAAAACCAACTCTTACCTCAGTTAAAAGCTTTAGAATTTTTTTTGGAAAAAAAAATGATCTTGAACTATAGTGGGGAAGGTTTCTAATCAGTGGCCTGATTCATTAATGTGCTTAGTTTTTTTTATTTTTTATTACACAAGCTTAAATTTGTTCTTCATTTTCTCTTATTAATTGTACCTAAGTCAAATTGTTCTTTCTTATAAAATTGAAAGAAGAAAAAGAAAAAATTAAGTAGATAAGTATTTGATGTAAGTTCATCACTGGAAAGAGAATTTAAAACTATGTGAATAAACTGCAGACCAGTTTTCGAAGAGACTAACATTTCAGATTAATAAACTAAATGTAACAAAATGTTCAAACAATAATGGATTTCTCTTTTTAAGTATGCTCAAAATTACTATGATGTTATTATAAAGTATGCATTTCTGTTCTCCAGCATTATCACCTACATTTCCTCAATACTCCTTTACTTTGTCTCATATGTTTTCTTTAGTTGATTATCAAAATCACTCATGAAAAAATATTGAACACATTTGGAAACTAAGTCTTAAAGAAGTCCATCTAAGTCCTTATTTCCATAATTAATTCTAGAAATAATATGATTATCTCAAGATCGGTTCCTCCATGAATGCTATACATTCCCAGTTAATTTATGTATATCATTTAAGATTTTTAAAAATCCACCAAAAAACAAAGAAAAGTTAAGTAGTTGTTTTAATTCACATAGCTGAATAATGAAGCTGGCTTCCTTCCACATTGGCAACAAATTCAAACCGTATTTCACATTAATGTTATGAACTGAGAAAAAGAGGTCTCTGTCTAAAAATTAATGTAGCTCTTACTATAGGTCTTCAGAAGATTATTTTATAAGTAGTTTATCTAACTTATAAAGAATTTTTAAATTGAGGAGCCATCATACTTGCTTCATATCTAATAACTTGGGAGTGTTCCCAAATGCAAATTTACCAGATTTTTTATAAATTTTCATCAGAATCTTTAAAATGTATAATTTCTTTTCAAAGTAATAGGGTAAAAGTTAATCTAAAATGGAAAGATGTAAGATTAAAAGCAATATCAATTGGCTTCTGAATAACCTTTTATAGTCCCTGTAGTTCTTTGATGGTATAGTGCCAATAGTAATAACTCAATAAACATTTTGAATGAATGAAAATAGTCTGTATTTAAATACATTTATTTTAATGTTCAGGAAATTACCAGAAAATTATAGAAGTAATGTTTGGCATATTTAAATAAGAAAGCAAACGACACAAGGATAGCTCCTCTATTAAATATTTTTGACACAAAGTTCTAATTCCTTGCGTCCTTGAAAAGTTATCCAAAATATGGCCCCCAGATCCAGTTTTATCACGCTAGTTAAATAGGTGTACTGAGCATTCCAGTAACAAGGCTTAGTGCTAGTTTTTATACTTTGATCCTGTCAGTTTCTTTGGCCAAAATGGCATTTTTCTCTATTACTTTCATAGGAGTCCTGGTGTGGTACTGTAGGATAAAGTACTGGACAGCAAGGTTGGTTTGAGCCTCAAGTTTGGCGGTTCATACTCACTAGACACTTCTTGGAAACCCTATATAGGACCGCTATGAGACAGAACCGACTCCACAGCACTTAACAACAATGACAACTGTTCTTGTCACTCATTTAGCAATTTTTTATGGCATAAGTTTGTGTTATTTCTTGCTTCATTGTTTAACTGTTAGTGTTGTTGTTATCATTAAGTGCCATTGAGTCAGTTCTGACTCTTAGTGACACTTTGTAGGGCTTCTGAGGAGCAGTTGGTGGGTCTGAACTGCTGACCTTGTCATTAACAGTCCAGTGCTAATCCTACAGAGCCACACGAGGACTTTAAACCATTAATATTATTGTTGTGCACCATCCAGTCGGTTCTGAATTACAGTGACCCTATATAAGGTTTCTGAGAACAGCTGGTGGGTTTGAACTGCTTACCTTCTGGTTAATAGTTTAGTGCATATCCTACAGTGCTACATTAGGGTTCAACTGTTAATGTTGTTGTTGTTAAGTGCCATTGGTTGGTTCCAACAAGTAGTGACCTGGTATAGGGTTTCTGAGGAGTGGCTGGCAAGTTTGAATAGCCAACCTTGCAAGTTCAAGTAGACTTTTGTGGGCCAGTGTTTATCCTATTGAGCCACACTAGGACTCCCAGCTATTTATTAAACATGGTGGTTATGTGCCGTTAACTCGGTTCTGACTCACAGCAACCCTGTATAGGGTTTCTGAGGCTGTGAATATTTAAAGAAGCAGAAAATTTCATCTTTCTCCCGTGGAGCAGCTGGTAGATGTGAACTGCTGACCTTGGGGTTACAAGGCCAGTTCCTAATCTACTGCACTACCAGAGCTGCTTAATAGTACCTGAATATCGTAGTGATAACTTGTAAATCTCATAAATGGGCCTCAAAGGCATCTATTTAAAAAGTTGCTTTGTTTAAAAGAAAACTTTAGGTATATTTTTCCCCTCTGAGCAACTGCCGTTGCTGTTGCTACTGTTGTTGTTAAGTTCCTTTGAGTCAGTTCTGACTCCTAGAGACCCTGTATGGGGTTTCCAAGAAGGAGCTGGTTGGTTTGAACTGCTGACCTTGAGGTTAACAGTCCAGAGTTTACCTTCAGCAGCATACCAGAACTCCCTGATCAACTGTAGGATGTCCAAACTGTAGGCTGTCCAAAATGCATGCCCACTTTTAGGAAATCACCCCTAGAAATACGTCCTCACTAATTTGGTTGCTTAGTCTGGTGTTCAGTTTCAACAAAATTTTAGACTTTAGTATTTGATTTAGATAACCCTATATAGGGTCAAAGGAGCTCTGGTAGCGTAGTGGTTACGAATCGGGCTGCGAACCACAAGGTCAGCAGTTCGAAACTACCAGCTGCTCTGTGGGAGAAAGATGAGGCTTTCTGCTCCCATAAAGATTAACAGCCTTGGAAACCCTGTGCAGGGTCGCTATGAGTCGGAACCGACTCCATGACACATAACAACAACAACAACAAACAGGGTCACTAAGAGTTGGAACTGACTCAACAGCACTTACAACAACAGCGTTGTTTGTTGCTGTGTTAAGCGCCTTCAAATCAAATCTGACTCTTAATGACCTTTGATAAGGCTTTCGAGGTTCAGTGAATGGGTTTGAACTGCCAACCTTGTGGTTTGCAGTCCAGTGCTGATCCTACAGCGCCACAGTAGGAATCATGTGTTACTTGATCTTAGTCTTAGTATTTAGTTCATGTATCATGTTGTCTTCATTGTCACTATGTTTTCCCTCCAGTTTGCATGTTAATTTTTCACTAATAACTTGAGACCATTATCTCTAATTCCCTAAATCTCTAACAAATATTGTTCAATAGTTTATATTGAAATAGGGTGACTATCAGTAAAGTAGTCCTAGCATAAGAACACAGTACTATAGTTCAGTTTCTACTGTAGAATACTGTCTGATTACCAGCTCAAAGTTAGAAACAAAGACAGAAAAGGGTAGACAAAACATTTGGAGTTAAGCTTCATAGTTTCAAATCACAAAGCTGAGTTTTTCAAGACAGTTTTTTATAGAATAAGATCAACTTAAATAGAATGATCCAGGATACAAGTTATTTTGTACGGGGTATTTTATAGGAGCACCTTTAGCCCCATTATTCATTACTGATTGGGGTTATGCACCAATACCATGGTCCTAGTGTGGCACTGTGGGATAAAGCACAGGACCACAAGGTCAATTTGAAAGTTGCCGCTTCAAACTCACCAGCCACTCCTTGGAAACCCTAGACAGAGTAACTATCTCTCAGAACCCACTTGGTGGCACTTAAGAACAAAGTATACCAATGCTACAAACAAAGAGAAGGGAAAATACGTAAGCA